TACAGGCTGCCCGAGCTCTCAGCTCCCAGGCTGCACGGGAGATGCTTCTCAGGCACTCTGCTAACTTGCTCTGAATGCATCGTGCACCAAGTCTCATGGGAGCCATGCTGCTAGCAAGGGATTGCCTTTGCTTCCTCCGCCTCCTCCCCGCCCTTAAATCATAGGCAGAATTTCAGTGGGACCTAAGAATAGCACCTTGAAATTAAATAGTGACATTTAGATGTGCAACCGTACTTCGCACTGCAGACTGATAGCAAGTAAAGGCAGCCTAAACCATCAGTGAGTCAGTGCAGGGAGGAGGGCACTTTGGCAAATGACTCATTACATTAGAAATTAGAGGCTGTTAACGTACTGAACAAATGTAGCGCATTTACTGTATATCAGAAAAATTAAAGCTCAGCAGGCTGGACACTGACAAGTATTCTGTGTGGAGTTTTTTTTTTCAAATTCTTAATTCCATTATTTTTTTAAGCCAATTTAGTACATTAAAGATCAAGCACTGCTTCTCCTTTAAGCATTTAAAACAGAACTGAGAAGAGAGTGGAGATTATCAGAGACGTGCTTCCTATTCACAACAGCAGCCTTTGTTATACAAGCAACACTTGCATCTGCACACCCCGGCTGAAGTTTGAAAATCATGCATTTCCAAGACAGTCCCTTCCCTTTCCCACCGTGTTCTCCCCCTTCAGTGCATCAGTACAAACTGATCCAAGTTAAAAATAACCCAAGATTCCTGATACTGTATAAAAGGATGCAATTGCACAACTCCTCTCAAAATGTGTATCACCTAATCAGGATTTTGGATGTCATCAACTCAGGAGGGAGCCAGTAATAACGTTTCCTCATGAATCAGAGATAGACAGGACACACCTATGAGACCACTGTGTTGTCACTGTGTTTTGTTTTGAATACTGTGTAATTATGTTGCAATTTTTACTCCCAGATTTCAGTAAAGAAGATTGCTGATGTTGGGAGACCTCTGTGCAAAACGCCTCCGGGGAAAAAGAAGGCTGAAGCACTGCAAGATAAATCAACCACAGTCACATTTAGTTACCCTAAATTCCACCTCCATCTCCCTGACCGGAGATTCCTGTTAGCTGGTTCAAAACATTCATCTGCAGAGAAGATCTAAACTGTCTGAACACAGCTCTTAGTTACATCTCACGCCCAGTTCAGGCGATGAACTGAAACGCACCGGGTGGTTCAGAAGTAAGGTCACAGATGTGGGAGGGCAATGTCACCAGAGGTTTGTATCTGTGCTGTGTCTGCGCTGGCACTATTTACCATATTAGCTTGAAGCATTTACATCCTCAGCCAAAATATCTCAGGTGAAATAGCTGTGTGGAAGTCAAAACACCATTTACTTCAACACACCCAAGGTTTCACATATCTCATACCATGTGACATAATTTAGACTAAAAAAAATATCCAGGAAAAAGATCAGCTTCCCCACACTTTCTACACAAATATGCACATAGTCCTTGTTACCTTAAAAATGGTATTTTTGACTCTGTACTTTTTTTTGCTTGGATTCAGCATATAACGCATCATACCACAGAATGGAGCATTAGTACAAGTTTAGTTGAGCTGTAGCACTTCAGCTGCAGCCCATTTATTTATAAAACAACCAACCAAAAAAAAAAACAAACCAAAAACAAACCAAAACCACGAAATAATTGATTCAAAGGAATCAATAATAAATATTTGCTTTCCTCTGAGTTGTTCAGACACAGTACAAGTACACCAATTATAACAGGTAGAAGAGATGTAAGCCTAATTTAGCTGCTGAAAGAAAGAAAAGCAAGCTACATAACACTGTATGCATTTAATCACGCTAATAATAACTGGTATATGACAGTATAAGTACACTATTTTACAGAACAGAGTTTGGCATATGGTTCATTGGCTTCCCTTGTGCAACTTCTGATAGTATCACCCAGAGCTTAGAAAATGTCCCTTTAAAAATAAAATACCTTTTAAATTATCTCCTTCTCGTATTTCCTTTGAGTGATGAAGTTTTCCCTTTGGGCTTCGTGCTAGCAACTGACTTAGTGTTCACCTGTGAGATCACTGATGCGTGGCCTGAAAAGCACCGCAGCACTTCAGATTTTAAATCACTGTGGCGCCCACACTTCTTAACCAGGACCACACATCTTTGTTCCACAGCAGGAGAGGGCTACAGTGCTTTTTCTGACACAGTTTGTGTACAGGGCAGTCTGTGTGTGCTTGGACAGCAGGCACATGTACCACCAGCTTCCTGACAGGGCTAGGAACAGCCAGGAATGATCACACACACCAGGCTTCTGCAATTGCTTCTGACTAACTTCTTTTCCCCAAGGTCCATAAACCTTTCATCCCATGCAATCAGACAGATAGCTCATATGACAAGGAGTGACTTAACTGCTTCAGGAGAGCTGGAGACCAGGAGAGGATTGCCATGGTTGATCTATCCTGCAGCCTGTTCCCAAGGGCCTCCAGGAAAGAGACTGCCAAGAGCAGGCTGGGCAAATTCTCCTAGCCGGCAGCAAGTGGCCTCTAGGCTGTAGACAGAGCATCCTCCTCTTTGCTAATTGCAACTCTGACCTGTGACTCAAAGTGAACCTACAGCATTTGGTTCTCGGGTTGTAGCCAGCTCAACTCTTTGAATTATTACCCTTATTTTGTGGTAATAAGCTTCTGGTTGCTCAGGCATGTATTCTTTACTAAGCAAAGCACTCCTGGTTTTATATGCACAGAGTAAGTATCCTCAGATGCAACACAGATAACATTAAGCACAATAAGCAACCACAGATGAAGCCACAAACTACTTTGGCAGTCCTGCTTATGCTCTGTGGGACTTTCCCAGCTCTGGAGTACCTTGTAAAGCACTTTGGAGCACCTAAGCCTTCAGGGTCCAGGAAAAGAGCAACGGCAGAGGCATCACAGACACTTAGAGCTGCTGCTTCCAAGTAGTGTCAGTGACTATCAAACCCACCAAAATACATGTGGATCCAGGAATGTGACTCTAAAGTGTCCAGGGAAACTAGTTAAAATCACACAGTATCCAACACCAGGAGCTGTCACAGAAGTAGAAGCTTATCAAACACCTAATAGCAGATGTCTCCTTTGTTTAAATCTGCCTTCCCTGCACATCAGATCAGTACTTTGTCCTGCCAAGGGTGGCTAAGTTGACTCTGGGGTAAGGAGAACAAGTGAAATGTTGGTACATGTGATGCAAATGGGTGACTGCTCCTAAGAAGAGAAGTTCTCTTCCTTTACAAATAGTACAGGGCAAATTTGAAAACTATTTCCCATAAGGAAATAGCCCAAGCAGGGCCTGGCTTTGATCAGATTGTCTAAGACCTCAAGCAAAGAAGCTAGAAGTCTGGGTATCAATCAGAAAAGGAGATTAATTACAGTCCCTGGAGTGAAAGGATTATAGATTTGTTGTTGTTCTGTCCTCATCCATCTCCTGTAGATTCATTCCACAAATTGGAGAAAACCTTCCCTCCTTCAAATTAAAAAAATACTCTCATTTTTTTTAATAGAAAATCATCAGTCCAGGAATACAGGAATCTAGGACCTACAAGCTCAGTGTCTTGTGTGTAGCAGTGGTCAGAGAAAAATATAAATGACAATTATGTGAGCATCTGCCTCCAAAGGAAGCCTGTCCCTATCTCCCATCATTTCCTATTGGCCTTCAACTTGAAGTGTAAGACTTTATATTCCTTAGAAATGTTTATTCTGGTTAATTTAATCACAAAAAAAGTATTTTTATGATTCTTGCAATTTTTTTTAAGAGTCTTGCTAAGGTTTAAGCCTCAACAATAGCACATAGCCCAACGTTTGGTGTATAAATGGGACATTACACACAAATATTTTCTAATGGAAGCAGTATTGTGCTTGTTTCCCTGTCCCTGGTGTATTTTTCTCACTACATGCTCTGTCTCTCTATCCTTCAGTCTTACCTGGATGCCTTGAAGGTCAGCTCCAGAGTGCTCTTCCTTCAGTCTTGGGAAGAGCTCTCCATAAGGCTTCTACAGCATGGCTCACCCCAAAACTGGTGAATTTACAACCTGGCAATAGCAAAGATATCTTCCAAATGCTTTGTCCAGGCTTTTTGGTAGATTAATGGCCCTCACTTTTTGAGGTACTGCCTTCATTCTGGATTCAGTGCCCAATTCTTATCACACTAAGGCTTCATTTGCCACAGATACCACTCCAGTGGAGTTCCTGTGGCTTTGCAGTGCTGATCATAAAAGCATAGTCTGGCTCCTGGCCATATCTCTCTGTGTGCATCATAGAGTTTATTCTGGCAATTAAAAGCACCTCTGTTTCCTTGACATAAAGGGTCCTTTCTCTTTAGTACAGAGGTTAGTTCAGACACATGCCTTAATACTGCATCTCTTGACCGTTTTGAGTGATCCTTTCATTTCCACTTTAGATACAGCCTCCAAAAGTTTTTCACTAGCAGACTGAATGCAGAAAACGTGAAGTGTCTGTCAGTTCCCTTTGAGGCTGAACACCAGACTACCCTCAGCAGAGAAGTCTGCCTCAAAATCTTCAGATAAGACAATGCATCTTTGAGAAAGTTCTCCAAAACCAGTACAAGAGACTTTTCCCTCCTCACTAAACATCTCTGGAGTATTATGCATCTTTACGTCTCTGTTGATCCCTTTTAAAAAAATCCTGAGGTTTGGCTTCATTTCATTTGTACAGCGCTTAGCTGTTGTAGTTTTAAAATGCTCAGTGTTCCATTTCCAAAAAAAAAAGCTAATTTAAAAAGAAGTCTCCCTTTTCCCTCAAAGGTGTCTTTCTTAAAAATAAAACATTATGTATCAGAACCTCGGTGCTGGAAGATGTAAGAAAGAGTTGAGTGGGAGGGCTTCTTGTGGTGTGAATAATCACAAGTGATAAAAATTAAGCTGACCAGGAAGATAACTAATCTAACAATTCCTATGTGGCTGGTGGTACGTGAAGTGTTTCTGGACAGCAGGAGTCTCCAGACAGCTGGTGAGCAGTCACACGGTCTGGAACGCTCGGCTTTGGGCAGGCACCATGACCAGCGTCGCTCCCATTTTCATCAGGTTATTGTAGTCGACTTTCTTTGGCTCAATTTCTTTTCCTTCTGTCTCCCTCTGGCTGTACTGGGGAGGAGTAAGATGGGGAGTAGCTTCCGTTGACAAAGTCCGTTGGCTGCGAGAGGCACTGTTGGCTGTCGACCTGGTTGAGGAGGAACCTGAGCGTGAGCTCCTGGAACCAGAGGAAGAGGAACTGGGCTTGACGAGATGGGCTTTGGGTGCCTCTGCATCTTCTCTGCAATCAAACAGATGACAGGGCTCAAATACCTCAAAGAACAGAAACACTTATACATTTTACCAGCCTGAACTGCTGCTGCAATGAGCAGTTTGAGCAAGGTACAGGGTTTTCTGAATTCTGTGCTATGTAACTTTGTGGACTAAAGTCCCTGCTGCTCTGTGGAGCTTTTGGTCAAATGGATTTAGAATACACGCTGCAAACGACTGGCTCTTTGTGTGCAGCTTTGAGGTCTGTGGAATGAATGCCAAGTGTCAGTGCAAACAGTTCAGATAGAACTGTCTGCTCTGTAATCCTTACTCATAATGACAAATCACCTAGACAGGACTATCTGAGACCAGTTCCTCTAGTCAAAAAAAATGTGGGCAATGAAAGAAGTGCAAGAACTGAGCCCAGAGAGAGAGAAGAGGTAAGTCAGGCATGAAAAGACAATACAAGAGGCTGAAGTTCAAACTAAAAAGGCACACGAGATTTGAAAGCAAAGAGAACAGGAAGAAGGGGAGGGAATAAATCAGCAGAGACTACGTTCTTGCTGGCAACCTGACCATCAGGCAGAATAATCAGCTGCTAAATGGTTTATAAAGATGCCTAGTGGTACATAGATGTCCTATGAGAGCAGGCAGTCTTTTACAGATAAAAGTAATGGTGAAACAAGGCAAGGGGTTTCTTCAAGGGCAGGAGCACCTAGAAGTAATTCCTGGAAAGATCTTTTTCCAGCACTTTCTTTCCTGAGAAGTTTAGGCTCGATTGGCTAGAGACCAATCACTGCTTAGGGGAGCTGAGTAGCAGACCTCACACGTATGTAACAGATGAGTTCAAAGAACACGCGTCAGCGTTCTCAGTACACCCACTCAGGGTGAGGCTTCTCAACCCTGCACACAGCAGCTCAGGGGATTTTTCACACTGGGATAAATCCAGAAGCACAGTTGTTCAAAAGACTCAGGAAGACTGTGAGAACCTGCCTGCCTCGTAGCATTCCCAACAGAAATTGCAGTTGAAAAAAAACCAAACCAAACCAAACAACAAACCAAACCACTCAGAACTACAATGGACAAGTGGGTTTAATTTAGTACTGGAGACGATTATGCAAATGCTTTAAAATGCTGAAATTGCAAGTGTGAGAGAGAATATCTTGTTGAGTTTTATGCTAATTTGTCCTGGGTGGGTGGTGGTGGGGGGGAAGAAATTTTCATCTAATTCTCTGGAAAGTCTTCACAAAAGATTATACTCACACTCAAGAAATTTCTAACTTATTTCAGGGAGACTTTAAAAGCTTTTTAGAACAACCTTTTAAGACATTTATATCTAGGTTACTTAAAACTGAAGTGAAAAGATGTGTGAAACTGAAAGAAGGGAGGGTGGGAGGTGGAGGATTAAATAAAAGGCGTCACCTGATTTCATTTGGTGCCTCCTCTTCCTCATATCTCTTCTTTTCTTTCCTCCTTATTGTCAGTCTCACCACCAGGAAGAGGAGGGATAGTCCCACCACCACGCCACAAACTGCTCCAGCGATCATGCCAATATTTTGTGCATCTGTTGTCCAGAAAACAAATCTGTTAGTCAGGAAACTCTCACTAGGCTCATGTGGTCACATTCTAGTCCACACTACAACATGTAGCACCAAGTATAAATCAGAACAGAACGTATTAGTCTGCTTATTTAGGCATGTCTCCACACAGAAGTTGAAACAATTTCTCTTCAGGCATTGGTTCTAAACCTGAGCTAACAGTGAGAAAAGTATACACCTCTGGAAGGGTGAGATCAGAAGCGTTACGCCTTCAGCTATGGGTCAGGACTGAAATGGGGAGGAAAAATCCTCTCATAAGCACACAGAACCACAGAAAGTACAGAGACAGACAGGACAACCCGCATGCGAAACAAAGCACCAAGCAGTTTCCTAGAGGCAGAAGAGTGTTCGAAGTATGGATGTTTCCCCCTGAGGAATTTTCTTCCCCTTCAACTCACCCCAAGATGCTTACAATCCACTTGCAGAATGAATTATTCAGTTGTGGAAAAAAGCGACTGGAGGTGGGGTAGAGAGGAAGGAAGAAAGGAGACCACACTGTGCAGGTGCACAGCATTTTTCATCCAAAATAACAAAGTTAATGAGAAAATGCTTCCTAGTGTATGTATTCCAGCCCTTAGTTGATACTTTATGACAACTTCTTTTCATAACAGTGGTTAGGTTGGGTTTGGCTGAAAGTTGTTTCCTTAAGGCTCTTCCCTAAGGAGGGTTTAGCAAACCAAAGTGAGGTTTTAAACCAATTCAGTTCAATTGGCATAAAAGCTGCCTGGACCCTTTTACTTCAGATGCCTGAGGCAAACAAGTTTTCCTTGCTACATGACTATATTCCAGTTACTTCAGGCCTGGCTGGGCAGAAAAAATACACAACTACAGAATCTCCAAGAAGAAACTTCTCTATTAGCAGTCTTTTATCAGAGCAGTTCCAGCTCCTGCTGATCTCCCCTGAGAGCTGCAGATAAAAACCTGCTAAACTGTATTGTTTGGATTTGTCCTCAATGCTGGTGCTAAACTCCACCTACTTCCTTGTATGCATATGCAAAGGACACAGGTACCTAGACATGCACACACCCTTGATGGGGTTAATCAGGTAGGGCATTGATTTTAATCTCTGGTGTTCAGGATAGAATTTATTAAATCTGGATTAAAACCAAATTGTGTCAAAAGTTGCTTTTTTACTCTGAACATTACTTCATGTCTAAGTCAGCCTTTCCAGCTGCCTTTAGATAGTCTACTGTCTCAGGTACAATAGATATGCAATTTGGAATTGGAATAATGGACTGTCGACACGGTGATTTTATACTTGAGAGTGATATCATGCAATCACTCCAGTCAGAAGTACCTCAAAAGCTAGAGACTCTGTAACCTCTAACTCACTGTGTTTTTTTTTCCCCTCATATTTCATTAGTTATTCTCAAAAATCAAAATTTCTAACATGCCAAAACATCTGAGCCCAAATGATGCATTTACCACTTTAGGTTATACAGAAGACTGCTGTGTAAACCGTAAGTGCAATAAATCATAGAATCATAGAATGGTTTGGATTGGAAGGGACCTTAAAGATCATCCAGTTCCAACCCCCCTGCCATCAGCAGGGACACCTTCCACTAGACCAGGTTGCTCAAAGCCTCATCCAGCCTGGCCTTCAACACTTCCAGGGAGGGGGCATCCACAACTTCCTTGGGCAACCTGTTCCAGTGTCTGACCACCCTCACAGTGAAGAACTTCCTCCTAATATCTCATCTAAACCTCCCCTCTTTCAGCTTAAACCCATTTCCCCTTGTTTTGTCATTAGTTGTCCTTATGAAAAGTCCTTCCCCAGCTTTCTTGTAGGCCCTTCAGGTACTGGGAGGCCGCTATAAGATCTCCCCGGAGCCTTCTCTTCTCCAGGCTGAACAGCCCCAACTCTCTCAGCCTGTCCTCATAGGAGAGGTGCTCCAGCCCTTGGAGAGAACTGGAGGTAATAAGAACTAAATAAGAACTAATTCATGTGATTCAAGTATGAAAGGGCAAAGGTGTGGCAAAGAATTTACTAGTCGAGATGGGACAGCTATGAAGCAGCACTGCTCATATGGTGATGTGAATACTAGTTATGTGCCAATACTTACGCTGCACTGTCACCTGAACAACACAGCTTTCTTGTCCAGCCTCGTTGGTGGCAATACATTGGTATAACCCCGTGCTCATTTGTGTAAGATTCTTCAGTAGGACTTGCCCGGGATTAGAAATATCTGAAACGGGAAAAACAACAACAGGGTTAATGAAAAAAGACCAAGAAACCTTTACAGTGGATAGGACATAGAAGCACAAATTGAACTTCTGGATCGAATCAGTTCAAGAATAATCAATAATGCCTCACAAAAGATAATTTGTAAACTTTCAGCAAAACACTAAACAAACTCCTCATGCACTTCCTTGTTCAGGGTGGAGCACACGACAATGTCCAGTCCAGTTGTGAGAGGTACTGATAAACCGTTGCTATTGCTGCCATCAAGTGCTCCCCATTTAAAAAGCAAGCACCTGGCTGTACATTACATGTGGGTGGTTATCTGGCTTTAAGTGTACCCAGGGCTCTAAGGGGAAATGACCTGACTTACTGACTCTTGATGTAGGTGGGAGATGTTCAGCTCTCTCATCTTCCTCATTTATGCGCTGCCATCGGTAGGAGATAGGTGCAGTGCCAGAGGTGGAACGGCACTGCAAGGACAGTTCCTTCCCTTCCAACAGCTCCCCTTCTAACCAGCATTTGGGCTTGGAAGGTTTTTCTAGGAGAAACAGAAGGCAGGTCATTGCAAATGCAGCAGACTATTTTCTCAGTGGAAAACCTTTTCTTTGGCAAAAGTACATAATTTAAGCAGCTTCCAAGAGCTGCCTTCTCTGGAATGCATTAAGGAATTACACCAGTGACTGCTGAGGGACTCTAGCTGCAACTGTGTGCAACTTCATAGTCTAAGAAATGGAGCTGGCTAGGTCAGACATAGAAATGACACATTATAATGCTCTGGAGCAGTTTGCCTCATGGATACTCGCATCAGTGGAGCTGTATCACTGCATTCCTCTTCTAGGTACTATTTAGAGAACATCCTTTCCCTCCCCCTACTTCTCCATTTCTTTCTTCTCCCCACAGCATCTGTCAGGCCACATTCTTAGACAGGATGATGGTGTGCATGAAAAAAACAACCAACAAACTGAAATCAGGGAAGAGAAACACTAGCCCCAGCAACTTATGTGTCACCTTCACTGACTTGGATCAGTGTGGGGTCCTGGGATGTGAACCCAGAATGCTCAGCAGGAGATCTGGACAGGGTGATTGCCAGCTAAGCTAGAATATCAGTTTAGTTTATGTGATGAGATCATAGAGATAATTTAGAAGGAACAGTTCATATGATTTTGCAGGTGATTATATTTACTTCAAAATAGTTCTTTAGCCTCTTCCTGTGTCCTGCCCTTTGCCAAAAAATGTAAAGGTGGATGTGGAGTTGGACAGTGCAACCTGATTGTGAGATGTCTTTGCATATTTATACTCTACTGAAACAAATCTGTCTCCAGGAAATGAGTCTAGCAATTTTTTTTTTTTCCTTGGAAGAAAAATAAAACGACCTTACCTATAACCTTCAGGGTGATGCGAGCCCATTCGTACTGCCCAGCATTTTTAACCTTACATATGTACTTCCCTGCATCACTAGACTGCAGGGATATGATTTGTAAGGATGCATCTCCAGCAAGGAAGTTGGAGGTGAAGGAAACCCGCCCTTTCTGTTCCTCATTCAGGTCATCATAAACACGGCCTCCAGAGTACGTGATCACCTGAGGAGTGAAGACAGTCACTGATCAGCCAGTTGTAATGTTACTTTCACATAGAACAACAACAAAAAGCATTTTCAGGAACTGCCAGACTAAGGTTCTGCATGGTTAAGTGACTTACCAAGGGTCACATAGGAAACCTGTGGCAGTGTAGAAAATTGAACCTGGATTTCAAGTCTGAGACTGATACACAGACTGTATTTATGCTAGAATTTACATTGGAACATTTATACTAGTGTCAAAATAGACATCAGTTTATGCCACAATATATAAAAGCACTCCTTAATCTTGGCTGATTTTGGGTAGCTAATTTAAATTATTTCAGATCTGATACTTTTTTTCCTGAAACCAAGGTTTCAAAAACTGGACCTACAAAACCCAAGGTCATTTTTAAATATGTGAAGGGCAATTCTGAAGTTTATCCAATGATGACTGATTACATAACAGTGTTAGTTTAAAGAAAACTCGATTGTAACACAACCTGTTCCAATATACCACATGTGAATGTCAAATAACTTTTACATGTTAAAAATGTCTCTAAATAAATCAGCTGTGTTTTCTAAACACTGCTTATTTCATCAGAATAACGTGCAAGGAAGATCACAGAAGTCTCTTTAAATCAATGGCTGCTGCCATAGAAATGAAACTATTTTCTCAACAGATGCTAATCACACCCAAACTTACCGCTTTTTGTACTGTTTCAGAAACGTGCAGCAGCCACTCGATGTCCAGGCTCCCTTGCTCCAGGAGACCCAGGCGATGGTGACAGGGCAAAGTCACGTTTTCTTCAGCCACTCTCTTAAATTCAGTCTGAGCCTCAGACAGCCAAACAGAACAGAAAGCTGAAAGACAGATGCTGGTGGTCAGAGGCCAGGATTAAGGATGCATCTCTGCACTGACAAGTGTTGCTAGTTTAGGTTTCCCTGGATTCTTCCTAATTTGCTTCATAACATCAAAGAAAACCCAACAGCTTGGCTTCCTGGACAGATTGCAGCTGATTAAAGGGGACATCTATACAGACACAGGCAGTTAGTTTCACACTCACAATTAAGTGTGAAGAACAGATGGCTTCACACTCCAAACTTGTCAATACTAAAGTCACACACATCCTCTAAGCACTCAAATTTTCATATTACCTCCTCATCTTTGCTGTCACCTTTTATTACCTTAATTCATAAGCACTATTTCCACCCAGAAGACTTTCAGAGTCCATTGCTTTATTCCTATACCAGCCTGGCAAAGCTTAGAGTTTCTTCCCAAACACTGGATAAGCGTTTGGATGTTCATTGTGTGCATTTCAGCACTGGAAATAAGAGAGTATCCTGGAAACAAGAGGGTTAACCTTCAGAAAGGCACAATACAAGTAGGCTAGTGAAGTATCTTTGAATAGCAACGTCAAAAAAAACCCCCCAAAAACCAAAAAAACAAACCTAAATTGTCAAAAACGGTTTGTCAGGATGTCAATAAGTAAATAAATAAATCACAATTGGCATCTGAACCACTAGAGGGAAGCAGAGCCTTTCAAATATTATCGGGTAACACCCAAAATGCTGTTAACCCCCTAAAACTGACCAAAATCAGGGCTCGATTCTTGGCTTTGCCCATCTCCAACTTTTGTTAACATGTGAAATCACCATGGGAAGTTCCAACTCAATCAAAACTGACCCAAAAGATCAGAAGCATGGAAAATTATGGGCATTTAGGGCAGGGATACCTAGCTATGACACCAAATAAAATAATTTCCAACCAAGTTTCCATGAGGATTTATTTCTGGGCCACAAATGCCATCTACCTTTTATGTATGAATCTTCAGAGTGCAGTTAGGTTGTTCTTAAATTTTGCTATGCAAGAAGAAAGCCTAAGAGCCATTTTTTTTTCTCTGTTAAATGAAGCCAGATGAAATATCTTGCTTCTTAGCAAGATACTTCATCTTCAATTATATGCTTCTTCAATTATTGTGAAGCTGATTAAAACTGTGGGAGTTGGTAGCACTAGGAAGCCCCACGTGTGACTGAACACACAATCCTGTGATTACAGAGCAAGATTACTAGCCAGAGCATAAGGAGCTCTAGTTACACGGGCTAAATTTGTTCTTAAACTTCTATTTAAATAGTGGATCTTTAATCTTTCCTTTACTTTTAAGTGTAAAAAGAAAATCAGGAAAAATTACATCCAACAGACTTCCTCAGCTTTTTCTGTTCCTTCAGGACCAACTCTGGTTTTAGAAAATTCATTCTGTTCCTGCTCCCATTCTCGGATCTGCCTCTGAGTTGTTAGCATCACCATCCCTCAGCTCCTGATATTTATTCACTACTTACCAACCACTTCTATAAAAGGTATCATCCATGGTGTACATGCACATATACAACACCTAGAATTTTAAGACAAGAGGAGTCTTACAAAGGATCAAGCTCTCCTCCCCTACATAGATCTCTTCATGAATCAATGAGAATGAAAGCTCCTTTTCAGCCACATTAGCTGCTTTCTTTAAAAGGAAAATTAATCCAGTTTATCACTGGATTCTCTAGTCTCAAAGCCCTATCTGCCAAATACAATTATGCATTCTGCCGAAGATGAATGCCTGCTTTCTCCTACAGCCCACATTGCTGCAGGCTGCCTTCGTTAACACTCGCTAGATCACTGATCGATACATTTAAATTAAGCACCACAATAGCGCACATTCACATAGTATTTGCAACATTTTTAAAGTCCTCTGCCAGCGGAGCACTCAGGTTTTGTGCATGCCTTACAGGGTATTCTGTGTTTTAAAACATAGTTTTACATGAAAAGCATTGATTGTGATTGTAAATCACCTTTTGAGGGAGTGTAACAAGCATCATTTTCATTCGTCTCTGGCTTGGACAGGCTGTTTTTAGGACAGCTCACTCCTCAGTCTATTCTTGTTGCCCTGAGCAAACATGCTTTGCATTTGAGAAGAAGCCCTGTACCTATAAACTCATCTTCTAAATGGGAGTAAGATTAAGGAGTGAGATAGTGATTGCAAATTTCTAAAGCACCCTCAGTTTTTTCAAAGGAACATGCAATCAGAGATAATTTGGAGCTGATTCACCATTGAACTGATCCAGATTGTCACACTGTACTTTTTCCATGACATGTGTGTCGTCTTAAAAAAATATACCAATAAACCACACAAAACTTGTCCCTTTAGTCCTTAGTAGTTCTTTAATAACACCCATGAACTCACAAGGAAGTCTAAGATTTGCAGGTGTTTTACACAAAGCCCTCACTTTATTTTCTTCACAGTCACCTATATCATTACACAGTCAAAAGGAAGCTCGAATCACAGCTTCATACAAGTATTCATCATAGGGTGCCAGTGAAGGAAAATAACACACAAAAGCCAGAGAGCTCCATGCAAACAAACCTCATGCCTTTGAACAGTGCTTGCACTGTAGCAAGCAGCAATGAAAGGGAATTCACCTTTAGATATCTGCTGGAATTTACAATATATACCTTGGAAAAAAGGAACCAGAAAACATATCTAAGCCCATGCTAGGTTATGTGTTTTATTAGTCAGTGAAGAATAAATGCCCTCCAAAATGCTCTTGTATTTGTGTAGATGAGACCTAGCAAGAACATATCAAAGAAATGAAATATTGCTGATGGTGCTTTTAAAATTTATACCACCCTCCCCAGTTTAAGTTTAATTTAAATGAGTACTAAAGGAGAGTGTCTGCTTATGGAAAAGCCCTTGCAGCAGCAAATACCTCCATACACTGGCCAGGACACACATTGCTGGGCTGGATGGGTACACTCCGGCTCCACATCTTTCCCCCTTTAAGGATCTTGGCAGCCACAGGAGGGCAGAGCACACTCAGAGTAACGCCTGCAGGGCTGGCTCCAGCAGACAATACAGCAAGACAATAGACGATTTTCCCAGAAGTCAGACCCAGGAGCCTCTCTCAGTAATGCCACATGTATGCAGGCTCCACAATTCTTACCCAAAAAACCCTCTTCCCCTGCCACATCCTGTGTGCAGCTCTTTATGCTACAAAGAGCACTTGAGGAATTGCTTCTTTCAGCTTTATTCATTCCATATCCTGTGACTTCAGTTTGTTTTTCTTGTGGAGCAGGAACCCAAAAGCTTATTGCAACTGGAGCATTTTGAAAGCATTGACCATGGACCTGAAAAAAAGCATGTTGGGTGCAGTACCAGGCTTGGTGACACACCACAGGCAATGTAATGTTCTGTATTTGGGGGGGAGGAGACCATGGTAGTGTTTAAATGTTCACTCTATTGTTTAGAAGACAATAACTCACCCAACACCCTGCAGACAAGGGAGACAGTCTTTCGCCTGTCACTGATGTTTTAAATATCCAAGAAATAAAGCAATGTATTTTAAACAATACCAAGGCTAGGACTCCTAAACAGACAGTACCCCAAAGAGCAAAAGCAGATTTACCAGAAGGGCACAGATCAGGCCAGGACACACAAAGGGATATTTTTTAGCCCTCTCAAGAACAGGCCATTCTGCCTTGGATACACAGCAGATTTTAAAGAAAAAGTGTGCAATGCCCTGCACCTTTCTCATGCAAAGATGTCAGTCTCAAAGCAATTCCCAGAGTGCATTTCAACTCTTTTAAAATACTGATTTTGAATGTATCACATCTTATAAGATGGTTTGAATTTCAGAGAAGCCTGCCCATCAAAACAGATTTAGAGTGAAGGAACCAACTCCTGTGCAAAGCAGCAAGTGCTGAGCAAACAGAGATTGTATTTGGCCTTATAACAAATTATGTCCACCCAAAATAGTGTTTTAATCTCTGAATCCTTAACAAGATCACACATGCTTTTGTGTACGTGCCACTATGAAGCTCAGTTTATTTTCATGCCCATACATGATACAACAACAAGTGTATGTATATATACAAATACATATATCAACAAAATAAAATAAACATATCCGCAAGGCATATAAACATACAATCAAAGTGAAAATAAATGCTTTGCTGACATTTTTATTTGTAGGCAAATTCATGTGCTAAAAGCTAAAGAGCTTCCAGATTTAAATCTTTCATTAGGTTCACAAGGAGGTTTGAATTAGGGAGCAATGCTAAATATAGATTATACTTTTTAAAAAGTAATAAGCTGTGCTATATCACTTAACTGCTGGAATTAAGAGGAACATCCTAGAGAAGATTAAGATAATTAAAATACAAGAAATCTACAATGATGCTTTGTAAACTTGGCCCAAACTATACCTGCACCAAGTTCATTTAAAGAGTAAATATCCAAAATGGGTCTTGAAAAATTTCAGCTGTTCCAGGAACTTCTGTGAACTTTTTTCAGCTACACTTTTAATAATTTATTGGGCTTTTTTAATCAAGGATTACTTTTGCAACAGACTACTCCAAGATACTGAGGTCCATGGAAGAGTAGAAATGTAACCTGTAATTCTCCTGCAACTCCAGACATCTTGTACTAGCACCAGAGGGAAGTAACTCAGGAAGCAAGTGACTCGAGTCTGCTGCTGAGAAAAGCTTTCTTTAATCCAGCAGCAAAAGCAGGCATCCCAGTAGTGTCTACACACACGGTTTATAGCACTGTCTGGACAATTTCCATTTCACCTGTGATAGGTCCTCTATCTGCTTCTGTTCATCAATATCAAAAGATTTCCTGGATGAAAGTGTGACAGGAACAGTGAATGGCCACTGTTGTCAAGGCTCATCACATTCTTTCTGAAAGGAGAGCAGTCTCCTACCAATAAGTTCTCTCAAGTGTAACCAATAATTTTGTCATCTGATTTTGAGTTCTTCTTGGGATACTCTTAAAATAATTATTTTCACATCGGTATGATTACACTATGTGAAAAATTAGGTC